ACGTAAATTTGCAATATTTAATGATTTATCAACAAGTATACAAGATATATTGTGAGCATTTAAATCTGGATGAAATGATTTACTATTATTTTCATTAACAAAAACATGTGCAATATTAAATATTCTATTTGTATTGAATCTATAATAGGAAAACAATTATTAGCAAATCTATTGTTTGAGCCTATATACGAAATAAGCCTCTATAGAAGATAATTTAATAAAATATATATTTATTTTCATATACATAATATGTATGTATATAAATAAACAAAAAATTCATTGAAAGTTTTAATAATCAAATTTAAACGTGTAAATCAGAATTATTTGCGAAAATTAAAATTCTAAACAAAATAGATTAATATAGGAATGGAAACTATCACACCATAAAGGTAAACTAGAAAGTCTATTTATTGAAAATATTTTTTATAGAATTTTTTGTATATCTAGAATATATACACATGGCACATGCTAAGAATAATAATGTATATTAAAGGGATTTTGAAAATTTCACTTTTAATTAATTTACCGCGGCACGTTCTTTCAAATCATTATCAAACCAATAAATCAAATGGAAAAACACGAACCAAAAAATTTACATCTCTATGCCCCAAAATCCTCTTTTTAGTTTTTGATTTTAGGCTCTTTGATATATGTATGTATGTATATAAAATAGAGAGAATTAATTCCACTTTTATAAGGAAAATTATAAAGAAATAAAAAAAAACAAAAAAATATAAACTAATTTTTATACTTACTTGGAAAATATCTTGGAATTATTAATTAAAAAGCCCCATAATGTTATAAAATCTTTTGTTTTCGGACATTTAATACATTCTGAGAAATTTCTCAAAAATTTTAAATCCCATTGTAAAATTTCTGTATTTATAATTATCCCAAAAGATTTTAAAATATCGGTATTATGTGTTGGTCGCCCAATAAAAAATGTTATTCCATGGTCAAGTTCATTACGAATAAATCCAATTAATGATGTATTGAATTGATTATTTCCAATAATTAATTTTTTTCTAAATTTTTCTTGTACTGCTAGTCTATCACAAATGTATTTCATTGCTTTATTTTTATCTTCTGATTTCAATTTATTAATTCGTACTAAAATAAATTTAATAAATTATTTATTGTATAATTGTGAATCAATTTTAAAATTAAAATTCTGCATACGCGTTACTAAGCTATAATTACGAATTTTAAAACAATTTGAGAATAACAAATTTATATTTTCCACCAATTTGTTGTTATATGAAAATTTTACTGGAAATTTTGAAATTTTTGAAAGCCAAAACATTATTAATTGAGTAATTAATTTTATTTCTTTTACAATTTAATTTTTAAAATTTAAATGACAAAAATTTGAAATTAAATTGGCCTACATTATTTTTTTCTTAAACAACAATAAGTAAAAAAAAAAGGACTACTTTTCTTTTAAAAATATAATATTGAAAATTTTATGTTAGGTGCCTTATAAGTAGGAATAAGTTCCGAGAAAGGCAGCAAATATATTCGAATGTAGCTAAAAATGGGTTACCCCGAAATCCCGAAATATTTTGTTCCGAAGATGAATGCTTAACGAAACGGTAAATAATTGTAGTCATATAAGCTACAATTGAAGAGAAAATAAGATCTGAACAAAAAACAAAATAAAATCAATTGGATTAGCTACACAAGAATTCTAAAGTTCTTTATATAAGATACGAAAGATTATTATTAGAATTTTAGATAATGAATTTGTTGGAAAGACCGCGAGGCACTCTACATTGAGGTACTTTTATTATTTTAACTCGAACATAATTTAGATGCGTAATTATGCATTGAATATCAAAAATTTCTTATACCTATGAGGTTCGAATATTTGAATATGTGTGAATTTGTCTCTAAGACAAATTTTTTTTTCTACTAGGTAAAAAAATCCCGAAAGACGAAGAAGAACGCCCTGCCTTTTTCCTCCAAAAGTGAGGGGACGTGATTCCTACCCTAAAAAATCACCTAAACTCTGAACGGATAAAACTGGTCCTACAGACCATTGCTATTCCATTGCACGTCAGCGCTAACTTGATTTTTCCGTACAGGAAGAAGGTATTTGATCTTCCATAAAGGAAATTGGTATTTCGTGTTAAATCGAAAGGTCCTGTTCGTTTAAGTCTTAATGTCATAACTCCATTGTCTAGCAGCCGAGCTGCTTCTATATTTTTATGCTGTTCTAGACGTTATGCTTTGTAACATAACTCCTAATTTCATCTACAACCAAAGGAACTCCTAACTTCCTGTCAATGTAACTGTTACGTATATACTATGGCGCATTTACCATGCCCCGTATAATTTTATTATGGAAGATTTGAAGTTTGTTAATGTGAGTCTTCTTGGCAAAACCCCACAGTTGTCTAAAACAAATAAAACATAAAATTTTTTTTTTAAGAAAAAGGTAGAAAATTTAACAAAGGTTTTATGAAATTTTGGAGAGTGAATTTATCGACCTTATAAAACTTATCGGTTTTATAAAACCTTATTACTGCATCTTCGAAATATAATAATGTGTACAATATGACTATTCATTAAGTGTAGAACTATGTCGAAATATATTCTGTTTGGTATCTGACATTTATATTTTACAGCAAACATCGGCAAACTTTTGTGGGTTATGGGCAAATATCTACTTTATGAGTATGAGTATATGGACCATTCGAATTTCTTACATTACCTACTTATAAGGAGAAATGATATTTTCAACTGACCTTATAGATCGGCTCTGTTTCGACAAATACTGAATTTGTATGGAATTTTATGTACCCATACCTATTATCTATGGCTGAGTTCTTGAATTTTTTTAAAAAATTTTAATAGTTGCAATCCAATATATTATTTTCTTGCAAGCAAAATGATGAGCCGTATCTTAAAGTTAAATGAGCCGCATGCTACCCATGGACCGGACTTTGTCGACGGTTTTTTCACAGCATATAATTGAAATCAAGAAGAATTTATATTCTAAACTTTATTTCGCGGCATATTTTTAAACTAGATTTTCATTAATTTCAATGTAGCCCGCTATATTCATCTCTCTAGCAATAGTGTTTTCACTTATTTCATTCACATATTGAAAATAACAAATTTTTATATATATATATAAAATTATCCTTCTTCGATTGTTATACATTTATAACGTATATAATTCTTAATTCACCTATGTATTATCTTTATATCTATACCATCGCATGTAAATATATCCAATGTAAAAGCACGTGATTTACAAAACATGCGCTTAAACTAAATTCCACATTGTTTACATTTTCTTCCTTTTCATTACTATTTCCATATTTTCCACGTATACGCAACAATAAAAATCTTATGAATGAAAATTCATTCATCATCTGTTTAAGTAAGTATACAATATTACTTTCCAATAACGGTTAACGGTTTTTTTTAACATTCCAATCTGATTTAAATAAATTCATTGCATTTTGGAATATGACTTATGTTCCACAAGTCCTTAATTTGTTAATATATTAAAATATCCTTTTGAATATCAATGGAAATGGATAATAATTCCAAAAATGAATTCATGATTTATTGTGATTCATTTAATTTTCCAAAATTCATTTGTATTCATTCTTGAATCCTTTCCAAAATTTTATATACACAATAATAATATGTGGATCCAATGTAGTTTATTCCTGTAATATAAAAAGTATCGTCACTTTTAAACAAAATTAATATTACCTACTATCAAAATATTTCTATTATTCTTTAGTCTTTTGCAAGAATGCATCTTATACGGTTGTCTTTACGGAAAATATTTAAGAAATCTTATAAAATTATCAATATATTGGAAATTTGTAAGGATATCGGTTAATAATAATTTTCGGAAATATTTAAATTAAATTTTCTTTTTTTTTGTTTTTGGGCGAAAATTAATTTTAAAGTGAAATCGAGAAAAATTAAAGGGCATAGTATTATGTCAAATAAATTAGAGTATTTTTCTTAAAAATCTCTATTGAATAGATAAGAATGTTAAGATTGTGATTTTAAAGAAGAAATTAAGCAGTATATTTAAAATTATTAATAAGAATTAAATTTGAATCAGCTGGGGTGGGGGTTAGCAAACAATTAAATGAGCAGAAATTCAAATTTTTTTTTGAAAATCAACATTATTGAATTGGGAGCCTCAATATTTCGTGAATTATAAGAAAATACAAGAAAAAAAATTAGAAAACAAAATAAAATTTTATAAATTAAAATGAAAAAGTAGTAAAAATTCATTCTGAAAAAATAACAATAAAAAATAAAGCCAAAAATTAATAACCAAACGATTATTTAAAATACCGTTACCTTTATAATACACCCATCTATACACATATATACTTCGAAATAACTGTAAGTTAAGGATTTAAAAAAACAAATAAAATTTATTACTTTAACCTTAAAGGATAACAAAAAAAAAAAAAAATACAAAAGTAAAAGCAACCCGAATTTGGCGTTCGTTTTTCATTTACTAGCGGGGTTCTTACTCTTTCAAAAAAAAAAAAATTATTTTTTTTTTTCTGTGTATATTTTTAATTAAAAATTATTGTTTTTTCAATTAAAAGTAACCTTTTTTTTGTCTCTTGTTTCTGCTCTTATTGTTAATGTTGTTGTTGAATTGCTTTGACAAGCAGTCATCTCTTGTCATTTATTGTTATAATTTTTGTTCCATTTTAAATTAATAATAAAATTTTAAATAAAATTAACAGTAAAAATTATAAAAAAAACTATTTCAAATGTGTATATGGTTTGTGTGCGAAAAAGACAAAAAATAACAAGTAAAAATAAAATGGTGAAAATTTTATTTGAGTAATTTTAAGTTGGTGGTGATTTTATTAATAAAAATTTTTATGATTAATTTTATAGCGGGTTCAAAAATAAAAAAAAAAAAACAAATTATAAGAGAAAAATAAAATTTAATTTAATTTTATTTAACAAATTAAATATTGGTTATACTACTGTATATATATGTGTGTATAGAATAAAATAAAATGAAATTTATTCTGGTGAAATTTTAATTAGTTAAAATTTAAAAGAAGAAAAAATTCTAGATATAAAAATAAAATGATTTTGGGAGAAATGAATAAAAAATAAAGGTGAGTTTATTTTAATTTTTTTTTTGTTTTAAAAGTGCATAACAAATTATTACATTAAATTTACCGTTTCTTAACCCATTTCAAGAACGATATCGCCTGAGTTATGTCGCCGGGTGTATACTTGGTAACAGGATTGAGTACATATGTAAGATATATGAGAGGACTACAACTCTGTTTTGAGTCGAAATATTCGTTCGCCCATATTTTTCTTTAGTAATCTGCAATCTATAATGTGCAGCCCATTTAAATTAATTATAGTAAAAAAAATTCCTGGACTATTTGAATTGTAGAACTGCTTGCATTATTTATATTTTTACACAGAGAATAAATTTAATTAGAATAGCCATTATTACTACTATATCTTATGAATTATATTTGCAAAATTTCATAAGAAATAATATTATTTATATTATAATCTAAGCTTGTTGTGCTCTGTATTTAGACATTTTAAGAATATGCTATTTTGCCTTATTTAATTCGAAGCGATTTTAATACAGCCTAAACTTACTTGTTATACTGAAGAATTATACTGAAGAAAAAATCGCAGGACTTCTATGGTATTTCTCAATTTGTTTCAATTTTTATGACGCGGTTCTTTTGTCACGACCTGCCCATTTTGAACAATAAATTGAACTATAATTGACCTAATCTATATGAATATATTTTACCATAAAAGCAAAATATGAGAGTAATCCTGTTATTTTGGTACAAATACAAATAATATGTAATCAAAAGTGTAAAATTTTAAATGTAAAAAAAAATATAAAATTATTAATGTAAAATTTTATACATATATAATCCGAGAGAGGCCAGGAATATAAAATTTAATTTATATCTGTTTTGCACAACATATAATTATATTTAAATTCTTACGCTTGCATAATGAAATTTCTATTAAATTTTTTAATAAACCAGAAATAAATACCAAAAATCTAATAATATTTAATAAAAATATTTTTAATTAACAATTTCAATAGTTGCTTTTAAAAACAGAAAAGTAAATAATTTTCATTTCCTGGTATGTTCTTGGGAAATTTAATAAAAGGCAAAAAATTTTATGGCAAAAAATTTTACTACATTTTGTATATAGTGCAGAAATCAAAACAAAATTCTATTTCTATATAATCTCCACAATAGTTTTTAAATTTCCGAAATTTTCTGTTTTTGAGGATTTCTTTTGTAATTTAGTATTGTAATCTTATTTAACCTTCATTTATAGATTTCTTAATATTATAGATTAACTATAAAATTTTATTGATGAAAAATAATAAAGGTATTAAAAAAAAAGGAAAACCCAAAAACTAAAATACATTTGGGAATAACCGCAAAAAAAAAATCAGAACTTCAAGTTCCTAAAAGCAAAATGCAAAAACTAAAACAAGTAGAAATTCTTGAGTTAAAAAATTAACAAGTTTGTTTTTGACTATAAAAGGATTCTAAACATAAAGAAAAATGGTTTTTCTAAAAATTCGATAAATTTATTTTTTCATTTTCTCATAAATTATGGGATTAACCCGGAAATATTTTAGTTATGTACGAACTGTGCCTAAGAGTATACGAATCGAACGAATTAATATAGATTAGGTTTCAATATGAAAACATTTACTTTGTGTTTATTGCACTCTTGTCTTCAAGATAAATAAGTTCTTTTAGTATAAAAGAACTTATTTTTTTAAATAGGTGATTGTAGGCGAATATATTTTAAACTATACGCGGATATCTTGATTCTAAAACCCGTGACCGTAATTGGTACTTCATATTGTTGATTCAATAATTTATGCTAGTTATCTACTAGAAATTAAAAATTATTGTTACAGGCTCAAAAACTTACATTTTTTCTTGACAACAATTCTTAATCAAAAAGGTTGAGTTTATTATTCAATATTTCTCCTATTACTCCAAAAGTTAGGCAATATCTAATATTACTCCTAAGCTTAGGCAACTTTTTCCTTATTCTTAAAATATTTACAAAGCAAACAAGCGTTGATTTGCCATTCTGCATCGGATATTGGGATTTCAAGAACTAGCTCCTTAAACAATAGTGATTGCAAACTTACAAATGTTAAGTATATATAATAATTATGAATTGATTATGTATATGTGACCTCAAATGATAAGGTAATAATGTCAAATGATTTTTAGATCTAATTTTATTAATTTAAACTTAAATAGTGTAAAGCTACCTACCTTATATTATTAATTTTAACAACTATTACTCCTAAGGGTAGGCAATTTTTTCCTTATTCTTAAAATATCAAATCATCTTCGTGTTTCGAGAATTCTTATTTTATTTTGTTGCTATTGATGGACAATTTAAATTCTTGCGTTAATAAAATAGCACTTTATTGGCCTAGTAAAACAAAAGAAGAAAAATTCAACTAACCGGAAATTTAATTTAGTATTAATTTAGGCGTTATAGCCTACATACAAGTTGTATTTTCAAATTATTAATTTTATTTTTAAAGATAATAAACAAAAAAAAAATTGTTTTTATCAAATTTTCGCTCCTATTGTAAAGAGGCATTGATCTTCTATCAAAAAATAGATTAATTTCAAAATTTAAATCGGATTAATTTTAATTTTTTTCTTTTATATTAATTGTCATGTAAAAATAGAACGATTTTATAAAAAAAACAGGAACAAGTAATCAACGGAAACAATTAGGGCTTGTAAAATGGTACGTCATTTCCTTTAAACACTTTAACGACTAGAACTTATATTTATGGTCGTAATTTATACCGAAATAATAAATAATTCACTATTGCATACATTTAGGAAATGTATTTTTTTATTAGTATTAGTATTAACAAAGAACGTTTTCGAATTGATTAAGAAAGTCGCTTGCTGGTAAGGCTTTTAAGAGTCTAAATAATTTAAAAAATATTGTAATTGTAATATAGCGGCTGAATTTAATATTTAATAAATTATTATAATAATAAATTATATTTATAAATTAGGGGATATAGAAAAATTTTATTTAGGAAACAAAATTCACAGAATCTACAGAGACTTTATTAGTTTTCTCAAGCACTCTGCCAAAAAATTCGGTAAGCAGACGTGAAGAAAGATAGATGAATACGCAAAGTAATATACCTTTTCCATATATATACTTTTTTCAAATGTGTTAGAAATATTATTGAAGATATTAAAAATTCTCACGTCTGATAACATTCCAACACCCATGTGAGGGAATTTTTTACAAATTTCAAGAAAAACGAGATTAAAAAAAAAATATTTGAAAATTTTATCGTACATTGAACTCGTCCATTTCAAAATTAATATTTCATTCAACATAAATTTCATATTATCAAAGGAATTAACGTATAGAATAAAATAAAGTGGGCAAAGATTCTCTCACTTCATATAAGAGTTTTCTTAACAAAATCAAATTTTCTTTTTTTCATTCTAATTTTAATAATGTCCTTTAGATTTAACATCATTGTTATATTCCGGTTTCAAAAATAATATTTTATAATGATGACTCGAAGTAATTTAGAACCAGAAAAAAAATGAAACTTTTTTCCGAAAAGTTATACAAGTAATTTTAGAGTCAATTTTATAAATGGATTAAGGGTATTTAAAAAAGCAAAAAAAAAAAAGAGAGATTTACTCCGATATTGCTTAAAGATTTTTTTTTTACAAATTTTTATTGTTCTCTTTTACAAATAAATTTCATTTTATCCTGATAACTTTGAATATAAAAATTTTAATGTACCTATATAACAGTAATATTTTATATTGTATTATACTCTCTATAAATGTCTAAAAGTGTAAGGTGTCTATATAAAAGAAAATATCCTGTTGATTTTTTTTTTGTTTTTTTATTATTCAGAAGAATTAAAAGATTTATTTAAAATTTTAATGGGGTGTAACAAAATTATATAACGATTATGTGTAATATCTATTTAGAGATATTATGTACTTTGAAAGGGCAACAATGATGATAAGCCATCGTTGAAATTAGTTTAATCACCAAAAATAATTGTTATTTTCTACACTTTTTGACATTTTATTTTTTTTTTAAGAAAAATTTATTATATTTAACCCTAAGTTAGGTGCATCAACAAAATTACACATTTAATCTCTAGGGGCCTCTAGTGATTTCATTGCTATAACTGATTCAGAAAATCAAAACATAACTCTTAATTTAATCTTAAAATAACAAGAAAAATATTAAATTTTTCTTAAAGCTAGTAATTTTTACTTTAGCCGAGTTAAATGTCAAATCCGAATCCGAATTAAGTCCGAATTATCACCCAGATCTTTTGCTTTGAATTCGAAACAAAATACTAAAAGTTGTTTAAAAAAATTTTAAGATTTTGAAGAAATTTACTTTTAGAAAAGAACGTTACTTAACGCGGTTGTGCGGGGTCAACACCCAAATGGAGGCATAGAAATGTGTACTAGTATATACTAGTTCAGGTTCTGTTCACAACTAATTTTTGTAGTTGACAGAAAATTAATAATAGATGAACTAAAGGCAGGTTCGAAGTTTTCTTACATATTTCAAAACTATGATTACATAATATGAACCTAAGTAAGGTTTATATTGGAACCTACATAATACACCTTCATTTTTAATAAATTTTTGATTACTAAGGACCTTGAGTAAAGTACTGAACAAAATAAAATCTCAAAATGTAATCTATAACTTCTACTTCCCAATAATATAAATCTGTATAATTCAATAAATTTTTCACAAGAAATTAACTCGTAAAATTACGATTATGTGTAATAAACTCCTTTCCTGTCCAGTGTTGTTGTAACCCATTCGGCAGGATGTCATTAAAATTTTTTCCAATATACATTTAAAAATCATTGTATATACAATTTTTTTATCGAATTAAAATGTGTCATCATAAACGCCAGTTAATTTCCAGCATTTCCTATATTTGAACAATTAAATTTAATTGAAAATTTTTTTTTTTATTTTTTAAAATATTCAGACGATAAAAAATATTGCAATACGTAATTGAATTTATTGAATGACCTTGATTTTT